TATTTACATAATTTTTTGAAAGGAAAGGACTTACTATTGGCATTTTATTAAATGTTTTGATTCTTGTAGCTATTTTGCCCTCTCTTCCTGCCTTCCTTTATAGCTCACTGATTTTTATAGTTATATACTTTGATTCCTTTCATATTATTTTAGTGTATCTCTATAATAGGCATTTTCATGATGGTTACCATGGCAATTATACCAAATTTTTAGTTAAAACAACATATTTTAAAGTTAATAACTTAATTTTAGTTGCATTTAAAAATTTGTCCTCATTACATCTCTCCTCAACTTTGTTATTGATATCATCAATTATATCTTGCTATATTCTATATCTATTAACAGTTTTAGTATTATTTTTCTGGTTTTGTTTTCAAATTTTATAGCATGATTAAAAAGTGTTTTCTGCACCATTATTTTAATACTACAGAATTTTACCTAAGTGTGCTTATATGTCTTTCCAAGAGATTTATTTATTTTCATATGATTTTGTGTTGTTTTCTAGCATTTTTAAATTTTCAATGAAAGGGAGTTCCTTTGGCATTTCTTGTGGGGAAGGTTTAGTGGTGATAAAGTTTTTCAGCATCTTGTTATCTTGATAAGTCTCTATTTTTCTTCACCTAGAAGGGCAGTTTTGCTGGATATAGTATTTCTTCTTTGAAGTTTTCCTTTCAGCATTTTGACTATATAACCTGATTCTTTTTCTGGCATGCAAGGTTTCTCTTCAAAAACTCACTAATAATCTCACAGGAGCATGCTTATAGATGACATGTGACTTTTCCCTTGATGCTTTCAAGATTCTGTTCTTTCGTGTGACTTTCATAACTTTGCTTATGATCTGTCTTCTTACAGCTCACTTTGTGCTTACTCTAGCTGAAGTATGCTAAGCTTTTAATTTTTTATGGCTTTTTTCTTACGTTTGAGAATATCTCAGTCATTTCTTACTGTCTTCTTCAGCTTCACATGTATGTTTTTTATGATTTTATTTTTTCTGGCATTGTCATTTTCCTGATTTTATTTAGTTGTTTGTATTGTTCCCATTTTGCTAATTCAGCCTGATTCAGATGGTTATGTTTAGTATTTTCAGGTAATTTCTACCTCTCCATTCCTTTATGGCTGATTTCTGATTATTTATTTTGTTTCTTTATTTGGGCTATATTTCCCTGAAATTTTGTATGTGTTGTAACCTTTAGTTGAGATTTGAGCATTAAAAAAAGCCACCTTTCACAAACTTTATAAAGTGGCTTTGTCCTGGGGACTCTGACACCAATTCACTTTACTAGAGATTTAAGGGACCTCAAATCCATTCTCAGGATTTTCTTCTGTAGAATTGTGTGTTTACTTTCTAGTTAAAGCAGTTTTCCCACATTTCATCTTTAGAGCCTTTCATCATTTGCTACACCTGTTCTCTGTGGTACTGAAGGCTCTCTGCTGCTGTAATGACTTTTTACCTTTGGTTTCAGTACACTCAGTCTGTCTTTGAAAGTATAGCACCATTCCTTTCGGCACTCTGTGATATGGGACACAGAAACTGGGGTCTTTGGAAGGACCCCCCAAAACCCAGAATGATGGACACAGGTATTACTATTTCCTTTCTCTATTGAGGGAGAAACTGGGAGTTGGTATTTTACTTCTATGTACAAAATACTGTATTAAGGAGGAAAGGCCATGGTAGGCAAACATAACAAACATTTCTTCCCTTTCTATATGGCACTTGGTGTTGTGCTCACCTGGTATCTTGCAAGCTCTTACCTGGTTTTTAGAATTCCCACAAAAGCAATTTGGTCAGTATGGTTTTGTTACTTTTTTAATCTAAAAGAAAACTGTAGCATCTATATTGTATTATGCCATTTGCTAATGTGCTTGGTATAGTTTTAAATTTTAAATTTGTAATATATATTCATGAAATTGTAAAACAAGAAATAAGTGGGATAATTTGTTATTGTTGAAATTTCTTTCAGCTGTGCCCTCTCATTTCACCCAAGACCATTTGCCAGAGCAAGTGATAAAAGTTTCATTCCAAAATGTGGTACTAAGAAGATATGAAAACTGTGGCCTTGAGAATTTGAACTTAATGAAAGACTGGGAAATCGTGAGTGAGTGCAGGGAGCAGAAAGGATGTAATGGTGGACTTCACGAATATTCACCAACAACCCATGGCAAAATCTTCCAATGTCATAAGTGTTTCAAAGTCTGTAAAAAATTGTCAAATCAAAACAGACATAAGATCAGACATACTGTAGAGAAATCTGTTAAATGTAAAGAATGTGGGGAAGTGTTTAACCAATGCTCACACATTACTGAACATAAGAGAATTCATAATGGAGAGAAAACTTACAATTTTAAAGAATGTGACCAAATCTTTAAATCTCGTTCAAGCAGTTCTAATCATCAGATAATTTTTACTGGTGAGAAATGCTATAAATGTGAAAATTACGGCAAAGATTTTAACGACAGTTCAAACCTTTATACACCTAAGAGAATTCATACTACAGAGAAACCCTACAAATGTGAAGAATGTGGCAAAGCGCTTACCTGGTGCTCACACCTTAATATACATAAAAGAATTCATACTGGAGAGAAACCCTATCAATGTGAAGAATGTGGGAAAGCCTTTAACCGGTACTCTCGCCTTAATATACATAAGAGAATTCATACTGGCGAGAAACCCCACAAGTGTG